GCCCCCAAGTGTGCCGTGGAAGAGGGCATGTGACAGAGGGAGAAAGGAAGAGGGCGCGGTGGGCTTCTCCCCGCCAGCAGCCTAGGCAGGGCGTTGGGCCCGGAGAGAGCGCCGCGGCCCCGGGGCTCTGGGCGGGTGAGACTCCTTCACGCCGAGTGACAGTGACGCATGCCATCCACACCTACGGAAACAGACTCCACATGACCACCAGCACACTCGCGCTACAAAAATTATTAAGAATTATTAAGGGAAATGCTTCACGTAGAAGAAAAATGGTAGCAGCTAGAAATCTGAGTCTACACCAAGGGATGGGCATCACATGAGTAAGTATGAAGTCGTTCTTTTCTTATCCTCTAAATCCCTCTTTTTAATGTTTTTTATTTTGAGAGGAGGGAGAATCCCAAGCAGGCTCCATGTTACGAGCACGGAGCCCAACACAGAAGTCGATCCCACGAACCGTGAGATCATGACCTGAGCCGAAATCAAGCATCAGAGGCTTAACGGACTGAGTCCCCCAGGCATCTGCCTCTAAGTTCTTTTAGAAGATAATTGAGTGTTTACATGAGAAATTGTAATGTTGGTTTATAACCTAGGAGAACCAAAGTATGCCACAGCGACGGTGCAGAGGACAAGAGGGCAGACAGAGGCACAGTTACCAACCCACGTGAGGTCTTTACACACCACTAAGTGGCAGTCGGACTGCACTGTGATGAATTAAACATGAGCAGTGTCAGCCCCAAAACAACCGCTAAGGTAACGAAACAGAGAGTTGTAACTAAGAAGTGAACAAAGGAGGTAAAAGTGGAATCATGAAACGTATGTGATTCATTCCAAAGATGGCAGAGGAAAAAAACAATAGAAATGGGGAAACAGGGGCGACTGGGTCGCTCAGTCAGTTAAGCACCTGACTCTTGATTTCGGCTTAGGTCGTGATCTCACCGTTCATGAGTTCAAGCCCCGCACAGGGCTCTGGGCTGACAGTGTGGAGCCTACTTGGGATTCTCTCTCTCTCTGCCTCTCTCCCACTTGCACTTTCCCTCTCAAAATAAATAAATAAATTTAATAAAAAAAGAAGTGGGGAAACAGAGAACAGACGGTAAAAATAGAAAACAAATAGTAGAATGATGGCTTCAAACTCGACCACCTCAACAGTCACTGTCAATGGTCAAAACACCCCTAGTTAAAAAGCAGAGATTGTCGAATAAGATAAGAAGGCAAGGTTCAACTGCCTGCAAGAAACTCACTTTAAATGTAAAGACACAAATAGGTTAAAAATAAAAGATGGAAGGAGATACGCCATGCTACACCAATCAGAAGAAAGCTGGGTCACTACACTAATAACAGACAAAGAAAATTTCAGAGCTGAGAACATGGCCGGACATAAAGAAATCTCTCACAATGACAAAGGAGTCTGTCAGTCCATCCACCGAAGGCCACGGCACTAGACCGTGCAATGCTGATGACAGAGCTTGGGGTGCAGGAAGGAGGCGCGTCCCCGGCGCCCCCAGAACGGGACAGGACCACGGAGGACTGGCGGTGCTACCCCGGGCTTCAAGAACGCTCCCCCCAACACAAGAGTGCACGTTTACCAGGACAGACCATGGTCGGTCCATAAGCAGGTCTTAGTACACAGAAAGGATCTCAGGTGTCATAGGTGTGTTTTCTAACCATAACAGGTTTAACTAGAGATCAACAAGAGAAAGATATTCTAGAATATCTCCAAGTATTTGAAAATTCAGTAACATACTTCACAATTTCCCATGAATCAAAAAAGAAATAAAAAGAAATTTGAAAGTATTTTGAAATGAGTGAAAAAAGCACGAATATCAAAATCGGTGGGATGCCGCTAAAGCCACATGCAGAGAGAAATTTTATAGAACTAGACACCTATATTAGGTAAGAACTAAGGTTTTAAACTGATGGCATCAGGCTTTTCCCTAAGAAACTAGAAAAGATGAATTCATTAACTCTGCATCCATGTGTTGGGATTTGTTAATGAATGCGACGAGGGCCAGAGAGGGGAGATACTGAACCCCCAGGTTTGGGCCTGTAGCTGGAATGCAGGAGCGCAGAGACAAACAGACGGATGACTGGGAAGTCTGGCTGGGTCAGACGTGCCATGGTGGCTCACATCGGCTGTGCCTGGCTGTGGGAGTCAGGCGTGGGCTGTTTCAGCCAAGGCACATCTGCGGACGGTGTCAGCACAGGCAACCCGACCGGCTTCCTCCGGCCGGTTCAGCCAGGAAAGAAGGGGAGGGTCCTTCCTCGGCCCTCGGCCCTGCAGGGGACCGTGCCTGTGTCTCCTCTCCCTCCCACTAGGTGGATTACAAATATACTAAGTTCCCAGCATGCACAGAACACAAGGTGGGGTCCTTGCTGGCACAAGAGATCTGCCTTCTGGAACGCCACATGTGGGGACGAGTGAGTCACACAAAGAGATTTTTTTCTGGCAGATTTCCCGTCAATTTGGTTTCGGGTGAGTGTGACCTGAGCGCTGCTGTGCACTCAGGGGCAGCCCACAGTACTGCCCCTGGACTCTGCTGCAGGGGTGGCCCCTGAGATGAGCGTAGGCCCGGGCACTCTGGGGGGCCGCCCCTGATGAACTGGTGTCCCAGGGCCCAGCAGGATGGCCCCCCATCTGCCAGAAGTCATGACCCTGGGGGATCCGCCAGCGCAGGTCCCTCGGCCGCTGACACAGGGTGGGTTCTTCAGGGTCAAGGGCACTGAGTCGCAGTTGACTTTAACTACCACCGGGGGCTGCTCCTCGTCCCCAGCAGTCTGCAGAAGGCACTGCTGCTCACTGTCGGCCACATGACAGAGGAAGGCACTGGCCTCTGCAGCAGCTCACTGGCCCGTGTGACTGATGGCAGTCGACAGCCTGGAGCCTGAAGGCCCGCTGGCCCTCGCTGACCCACTTTCTCCACTGCGGGCTGGAAACATTTGCGTAATGGAGGCCGTGGGGCCCCGCTGTCCCCCCGACACGGGAGATGTTTCTAATTACAAAGGAGGCCGTGCGTCCCCGCCTGGCCAGCACACGATCTGCCCAGTTGGTGCTGGTGCCTCAGCTCGCTGCAGGGAGGCTGTGCAGGAGGGATGCCGTGTATTTTCGGTGCCCCTGGGATCATCTGAGCCGGGTTGTCTCCTCTCCTGTCTGGGCTCTTTCCTCCGTGGCGCCCCCAGCCAGACCTGCCAACGCAGCCACACGCGCCGCGCCGTCCAACAGAGCTGTGCCCTGGCGCTAGTGTCCTCTGCCGTGCTCTCCCATGCACAGCCACCAGCCACGTGGGGCCGTCTCTTCAACACGTAGCGTGTGACTCGTGGGCTTCTTGTTTCAGGGGTGAATAGCCACAAGCAGTAGTGGCTTCCACGTTGGACAGTGGAGATAGACTTCTTAAAACCTGTCTTCGCTACGCCCTACGCCTTCGTGTCAGAATCCGTGTTGCTCAAAAGCATCGTTTTATCATCCATAATTAGGGCACTCGGGCAGGTGTATGTGGGACACTCTCTATTCTGCGGGGTCTACCCGGTACCCCTCTTGGGAGCCCCTGGGCCCCAGGTCATCCAGAACCTCCCCCTGCCAGGCCTCTTTCCCTCTGTCCTCCAGGTGGCATCCTCATGCCAGACACTAGGGCCACTGCCCCCTCCTATGGGGGCTGCTCGTGCCCCGTGTCCTGTCCTGCCCTCATTCTCGCTCCTCCCTGACACCTGTGGGACCCCAATGCCCGGCGACTTCCCCACACCCTGTGACATCCCCACAGCCTGCACCCCGAGACCCCCTGTGTGCAGGCAGGCAGGCGGCTCTCCAGCTTCCGTGTGCTGCCCTGACTGGTGGCCCCCCCAGGAAGGCCACCCAAACGGCCCACCTCTAGGACCCCTGCTGCCTGCAGAGCATCAGGTCCGGTGAGCCCACAGGGCCTCCAGCGCCCGGCCTGGTTCCGGTTCTGCAGGCCTCTCCGTCTGTCCTGAGACCCTTCCCGGTCCTGCCCCCGCCCCTGGCTGTGCCCCTCTCCTGGCCCGCCTGACCCGCATTTCTCATCCTCACTGGCACCCGTCTCTGAGACCACCCGGTACGCTATGGTCCAGCCTGGAGGAGAACTGGGCCCTCCCTGAGAAGGGCTACGGCAGGACAGTCTGGTCACTCTTCCCACGGGCCCTGCAGGCCTACTGTCATCATGAGTGCCTGTAAATCATAAAGTGAAGCCTTAATTATATCGGGGGGATGAAGCGCTGGACCCATTGTCTGCAGAAATTAGATGTAGAATAGTGATACCTAAAGCGTCTTCTGGAAAGACTTTATAATAATATAATGCCAAAGCATCAGCCATTCAGTAGCTTAGTTAATAGACTCTAGATCCACTTTAGAGACGGGGATTACCAAGGAACCTTGACTCTAAGCACACAGGAAACACCAATACCTGTAATGTCCTGGCTTTTTAAGGGCAAGGGGAGTCACAGCCAGAGGGCGGGGCTTCTGGCACGGATGTGATGGGGTTTGCACAGAACTAACATAACAGCAGAACAGAACGGACACTGCAGACCCACGCGAGGATTCCAGGGCTCACTTGACCCCTTTTCCTCTCCAGGGGAGAGGGCTGTTCCTGTTTCCCTCGGTGCAGAGGCGGAAGCTGAGGCCAGAGGGCTTGCGTGACCTGCCGGGGGTCACACATGAGTCAGCGGCGGGGCCTGGGTCAGTCCCTGCCAGGTTTCCCCGCCAACCTGTGTCCCCCACCGCCGTGTGCCCCAAGCCCCAGCAGGTCAGGCAGGGTGGGTCCCAGGACCGCACCTTCTGGCTGACTGGGCCGCCCTCCCGGAGCCTTTGCCCCCCGTGAGCATTGGTGTGTCACCAGAGCAGGAGTGAGGGCGGCACCCTCCCTCGACCTGTCCCACCACCCACCTGTACCCCCTCGCCCCTCCAGAGACCAAAGGCCCTTGTAGGCCAGGACACCCCGAACTGTGGTGGCCACTGACGGTGTTCTCGGCAGCAGCCGTGCCTTCTCTTTCCAGGTGACACCATCTGGGCCCCATCTGTCCTTCCTCACGGCGCCCTCGGCACCTTGAGCCACTACCCCCAGCCGCATTTTGGGAGAAAGATGGAGTCGAAGGTCTCAGAAGGCGGCCTGAACGTGACCCTGACAATCCGTCTGCTGATGCATGGGAAGGTACAGAGCCCAAGGCCGCTGCGTCCCACCAGCTGGGAGGCAGGGGAGGGTGTGCCCTGGGCAACCTCAGGTTTACAAAGCAGTGACAGCCCGCTCCAAAGCATGTTTCTCCTGGAGACCCTTGAGGGTACTTGTGACCTGATGTCCTGTCACTGGACACCTGAGTGTGTGTTCCCTACAAACAAGGGCGCAGTGTCCAATCCACGTCAGGATGCCAACACTGATGCATCCCAGCCGCCCGACCCCGGGCCCCGTTCGGGCCACCCGTCGCCCCAGCCCTGCCCTTCACAACAGGACGCGTGGGGGGTCAGGGTATTCAGGCCTCCACATCCCGGACACGCCTCCTCTTCAGCCTGGGGGAATCTCCTTCCATCCTTCCTCAGGGAGGCTTTCCTGATGTTTCCTCACCATTGGCAGCAAAGTCACAGGAGCTCTCGCATCGGGGGCCTGACACTGGTCCTTTGGTCCTTCCCCACAGTGGGCCCCCACTGTTGTCAGACTCCAGCACATTCATTCATCTGCTCATTCATTCCTGTCTCCGTGGACTCAGTTTGCTGCTTTATTCAGATTATTCCCATTGTGTCATTACTCATGTTGATGCCCGTATTGACCCTGACTCGGTCACTGGGAGCCTCTCCAAGCTGGCCCCTGTATCCTCCTGACTCCCTCGCACTTTGCCTGCCTCAGTCCTGGAACCAGCCATTTCTCCAGGGAACCCCGACTCTTATGAGTGGGGGGTGGTGTTAGAAGCCCGGGTCGGGTCACATAGAGTACTCATCCTTTTTTAAAACGTGAAAAGGCAAGTAGCAGTGCTTAATTATCTTTACATCACAAAATTGGGGAAGATTTTGTGTTTTATCTGTTTCTTTCCTGGTTTCTTAAGGCCCTAAGAGCATAGAAATGCCTCCTGACTTAATTGTATGGAGCCAGCCGCTGGCTTCTGCTTGTCCATGTGTCTGTCAGAGGCAAGGCCTGGGTCTAACCAAGGTCAGACGGGCACCCGGGAGCCCCCAGACCCAGGGCCTCACACAGGCGGCCCGACTGCGCTCCTTCCTGACAGTCCTGACACCCTGTCCTCGCTCCAACACGGACGGGTCTCGGTGTCCATCACGGGCCTTTCCCGCAGCTGCTCTATGACATCAACTTTGTGTGATTCTTTTCCTGTAGGAAGTTGGAAGCATCATCGGGAAGGTAACTACTGAGCGAGCTCTGCCTGTGCTGCGGTCCCTGAGAGGAGGTGCCAGGGCCCCGGGCCTGTGCTGGGCGACGTGCCACGTGGTGGTGTGTGCCCCGCCCTGAGGATTCCAGCGGAATCCTGAGTCCCCGTGAGGCTGGTCCAGGGCCTCCCGTGCGATTCTCTGAAAGCCCAGCAGGCGACGTCCCCGGGCCCCGTCCTGGCCAGGCCCCGGCCAGTCACCATAGCAGCCCGCCCCGCTGCCCTGCGGCCTGTCCTTCTTCCCGGGCGTGAGGGCCCAGTGAGCACGATTCACTGGCATTCTCCAGAGCAGTCTCCCCTCTGACCAGTGGGTGGTGGTCTCTCTGGAATCTCCCTTCCAAAATAAAAGACACGTGCCTCGGGGAAAGCAAGAGTGGATTTGGAAGCCTCAAGCATGTGGGAGAGGCTGGGGTGAGGCACCGCCTCCCGTGGTCGGCCTGTGACCGTCTCCAGGCCCCCTGGCGTCCAGGTCCAGGTCTTTCCACGAGAGCCTCGGGGCACCTGCCCTGGCCTGGCCCTGCTTTGCCTGTGACGAAGATGAGGGCTGTGAAGACCTCTGCGGGGCAGGAGCCCAGCCGGCGCCCCGGCCCCCCTCCCCGAAGGGCCCCTCGCAGGGCTGTGGTGGGGGCTTCAGGGAGCCACAGCGTCAGGCTCTAGCCCCACCGTGAGGGCTGCTGCTCGCTGGTGCACGAGGCAGGCATCCGCGCCCCGCGTACTGCCACGCCAGAGCCTCTCGCCCACGGTGGAACCTCGGAGCGACGCCTTGACTGTTTTCTGAATCTTTATTCCAGAAAGGAGAGACAGTGAAAAAGATGCGTGAAGAGGTGAGCTGGCTGGCACTCGGTGGCGTCCCATCTGTGGGCGGGGGGGAGGAGCGAGGCCAGCAGTCCTGTCCTGCGGGAGCCCCGGCCAGGCCACCCCTGGCGGGTCAGAGGCCCCTTCCCTCCGCCGTGTGTGCCCCCGCGTCAGGGCTTCTGTGTCCAGGGGCGGCAGGGGGCACGGTGGCTGACCCCGCTCTGAAGGATGGCCCCGGACGGCCTCCCCGTTTAGTGTGGAGGTTTGCACATGGCTGTCAGAAGGCCTGGAAGCCCCAGCCAGGTTCCACCCGTGGCTCTAACCCCATCCGGGCTGTGCTCACCTCCTTCCAGAGTGGCGCGAGGATCAACATCTCTGAGGGAAACTGCCCAGAAAGAATTGTGACCATCACAGGCCCCACCGACGCCATCTTCAAGGCCTTTGCCATGATCGCCTACAAGTTTGAGGAGGTGAGATGTGTCCCTAGAGACCCCGCGGCGGGGGGGCAAGGCACAACCCTTCGCCCCGTCACCTCCTCACCGCCCGGGGGCTCCCGTGGCCGCAGGCCACCTGGTGACAGGCCAGCCGTCACGCTCCGTGTCCGTGAGCCCGGCCCTGAGCGAGAGCCCCAGCCGTGCCCTGCGGCTGCTGCCCTGGCGTGTGCGCTTGGCCACGGGGACCCGTGGACTCTCCCGTGGACGCGTATAAACACGCATACACTTGCGTGTCTGTGGCACGTCTATGCGCCCTGTCAGTGAGTTCGATCAAGGTTTTCATGTGTTTCCAATATTGTTCAACTTGCCAAAAGTTATTCAGAGATGCATTCGGTATTTTTACTCAGAAGGTGTTCAAGCCAGGGAGTTAAGTTTTTCTGTCCAAAATGCGCCTCCCTGCCTGTCCAAGACCCTTCGTGCCCTGCCCAGCCTTGAGGACAAAGCAGGGCCTGAGTCCGGGTGTCACCTGGATCTGCGTCGCGCCCTGTCCACGGCAGCACCACGGCAGCCACAACCTGCGTGTCTGCGAGTGATTGGCACGTGTGGGTCCCCTTCTGCAGACCCAGCTGTCCTCTCCTTGCTTGTCCTCCTGAGCCTGACTGGCCTTCAAGCCTCTGCAGTCCACCAGTCCGTCCACTGTGTCCTTCCTCTGGACGCTCAGCCGTTTGCCACAGTGTGTGTGCCAGGCGCCTCCGTCTGGGGACACTTGAGTCCCCACACTTGTCCTCTCGCTGCCCCCGCCGCCCCTGTGTCCCTGGGGCAGGAACCCTGCCCCGCCAGCCTCTGGAGCACATTCAGGTGCTTTCTCACCGAGCCTGGCCTTTGCACTCACTGGCGTGTATGCGGCATGCTGTGTAGGCCCACACGTGTCTTTCTCCCTCCCCAGGATATCATTAACTCTATGAGCAACAGCCCTGCCACCAGCAAGCCCCCGGTGACGCTGAGGCTGGTGGTCCCCGCCAGCCAGTGTGGGTCCCTGATCGGCAAAGGCGGCTCCAAGATCAAGGAGATCAGGGAGGTAACAGAACCTTCTCCGGCTGCTGGTGCCCGCTGCTGGGAGGGTAGAGCCCGCCCCCCCTCCCCTGGAGGCCCAGCACTGCGAACCCTGCCAGCATGGAGCTTACGGTAGGGGAGGGCCATCCAAAGAGCAGAGGGTGGGACGTGGGACCCCCTAGAACGTGCACAAAGGTGTCGCGCAGAGGCGCTGGGCGCCTGTGAGGGGGGCTGTGCACCCCAACCGGGGACAGGCAGGGCCCTCCTGCCACCTGGTCATGCGGCTCTAGGCCACAGAGGCCGTGGTCTCTGCCCCCAGGCAGGTGCGTCCAGGGACTGGCCGGCCTGAGCTGTCCCAGCAGGGAGGGAGCCGGTGTGAGGGATGGACTTTATGCTCACATGTTGCCGTGTTCAGAGAAAGCCTAACTCCTTCCGTCTCCCGTAAGGAGGGTGGCCACCCTGTCATGATTCCGTCAAGGAGAGACAGCTAAAGAGTTTAGGCTTTCCTAGTGTCCATCATTCTCTGTGACCTGAAACTCCGCAGGGGAGATAAAATTCCATGTATTTAAAAAAAGGGACTCCATTTCTGTCTCCGTCTCTACAAATGCCACTTGCAGGTTAAAATGCCTCTTGTCCAGCGTCGCTGTCCCTGTGCCAGGCCACACTGGGCAGTGGTGGGCTGAAGGCGACCGGCCCCGCCCCATGGGCGCCCAGGGAATGGGCAGAGGGCTGGGGTGCCAGGCGGGCATGAAGGGGCACCGTTGGGGGAGGCGTCTGTGCACCACACCCTCAGCACGCCCTCTCGAGCTCCCAGGAGCGCTGCCCTGGCTCAGGCCGTGTCCCCTCCAATGTCTCATTTCTGCAGTCCACAGGTGCCCAGGTCCAGGTGGCCGGGGACATGCTGCCCAACTCCACGGAGCGGGCAGTGACCATCTCGGGGACCCCCGACGCCATCATCCAGTGCGTCAAGCAGATCTGTGTGGTCATGCTGGAGGTACAGTCTGGGCATCCAGGGACCACCGCCAGCCTGCCCCGCGAGCCACACCTGCTGTGGCTTCTTCGTGTCGGCTGCGGCACGTGGCTGGGGCCGTGCAGGGGCCGGGGGCCGGGGGTCGGGAGCGTGACCGGAGCGAGAGCCGTGCTGGGGGTGCGGGTGCCGGGAGAGGGACAGCTGCCGGCCGCCCGCCGGCCGCCCCCTTTGGCATGTCCCTCCTCGTGGCTGGGGAGCCGGGGAAAGGGACGTGTGAGGAGACGCTTGCATCACCGGTCGTCGGTCTGTGGCATGAGGGGCATCCAGTACAAGGGCGGCCGTAAGCACGGCCCACGGACGAGGGGGAGGCCTGTGCTCATCACACCCGCAGGCGTCAGGGTCCCACCAAGGCACAGAGGAGGAAAAGCACGCTGAAACGCCCAGTTGTAAGAGACAGACAGGAAGTAAACAAAATGGTTAAAACCAAAGGAGAAGCAAAGAAGACAGCTGAGCGAGACAAAATCCTCTCGACATTTGGGGGAGAAACCCCTGAGATTTAAATGTCAGCCTCTGCCCCAAATGCAGCAGGGCTCCCTGAGGCCGCCAGCAGTTGCTGGTCTCGAAGCTGAAGTGAAGCGTGTCTGCGTCACGCGACAGCCCCCGACAGGCGTTGCGGGCTCGAGGGCCGTGAGGGAGGGCGAACACCAGGCGCCCACAGCAGTGGACTCCCAGCCTCTGTGCCCTCGCCCCTCTTGTCCTCGGCTCGGCGTTCGGATCCACCCCCAAGTCTCTAAAAAATTTGCATGGTTTCTATTTTCCTGAAGTACAATATTTTGTGAAGTCAAAAATATTTTTCTAAATATTGGTGTCCTGACGGTCCCCAGCCACTGGCCATGGTGACAGTCGGTGCCGTTCTGGGTTCCCCTCCATCCCCTGCTGCTGGGACCCGGGAGGCGCCACGTGGACAGACGGAGCGGGCCGGGTGCTGCCTGCACCGGCGGATGCCCGAGGCGGCGAGGAAGCACGCGCGTCTTGAGCTGCGGTGGCCCGTCAGAGTGCTGAGTCCGTCGGAGTGCTAAGTCCGAGTGCTGAGCCACACGAACGGCTCCGGGAGGGACATGGCCTCCCACGTTCAATAACAAGGATTGGACTAAAACTCTCGGCCTCCTCAGGACTCCTCCCAGGTGGCATGGCCCACACCGTGTTCACGGTCAGGTGCGGCCCCGCAGAAGCAGGCTAGACCCCTTTGGCTGCGGGTGCTGACACCCCAGGGCTGTGGTTAGAACCGCCCGGTCTTCCCGCGGGCGGGGAGGCCGACACGAGACTCGACCAGGAAGCGCACGTGGCAAACGTGACCCACAAATGGGCTGAGGTGGGGCCTCGCCCTTACCGGCCCGGAGCTCTCAGGGGTCGGGGGAACCACCGTGCTTAGGGAAGTTGGGCCCATTTTTAAGTGAAAATGAGCTGGACGAACAGAGCAAAGGTTAGCGGACTTTCAGACTCTGTTCGGGGGGCCCCGCACCCTTCAAGTGGCCACTGAGAGGCCTGTCCTCTGGTGCGGGTGAGTCAGCGGGGCCCCGTGGAAAGCACAGGGGTCGCCGCAAAGCCCACCCGTCAGTGCCTGCCGCACCCCGGGGGAGCCCCGAGGGCTGTGCTCAGAAGCCCTCTGTCCTATCCGAGGACATCGGCATGCCCGGGAACCACAAGCTCACAGTGTTGGGATGGCGGGCGCTGCCGTCGGTGGGGTGCCCAGCTCAGGGACAGGGCACAGCCAGACAGAGGTCTCTGCTGGCACCGTGAGAACGCCACTCCCTCGAGCTCCATTTAATCATGGTTCTGCCACGATGAAGCGAGTCTTACCTGAGGCTGCAGTGAATCCCAGCTGCACAGAGACGTTTCTGGAGGCGTTAGGTCATACCTGCAGAAACACTGAAGACTGGCCGACCCCAGGAGCCCATCATCACCCCAGACATGAGTCAGCTCACAGGCCCCACAGCAGCCCTTCCTGCTTTATTTACAGCGAGGCTGCAGTGTTCCCGAGGTCACACAGCTCGGCCAAGGCCATACAGATTTCCCAAGGTCATACAGAGTGGCCAAGGGTACAGAGCATCATGTCAAGGTCAAACCTTGTGCTCAAGGTCACACAGTGTGCCCACGGTCACACAGCGTGGCTTGGACTACAGAGTTGAAGCTGTCATCCCCTCTACTAAGCCTGTGCCCACATGACTTTGTGTCTCAGGTCGGGGCACTGTGAGGTCACACCCGGTAGCCCAGGGTGTGGGCTGGGCCTGAGTGGGCCCTGGTCTCGAGAACTCCCAGCAGGGACACTGCCCTGGCCCCCACCCTCTGCCTCTGGCAAGCGGTGTTGCTGACCTGACCTGGGCCCTGTGGCCTCTGCTCCCAGGGAAGACGGCCACCTGGCCAGACAAGGGAGGACCTTGGTTGCCTCTGACCAAGGAATTGGGTTGAATTTATCAGAATCTGGCAGACTTCTGGTACTTGAGAATGTCATCCACCCCAAGGTAAAAAGCCTGTACTTTTGGACACAGAATAATCAAAGGAAATTCTAGCAAAGCTCATCAAGACTGTAACATACTACATTTGGACTCTAAGTTTTTTTTTTAAAAGTTGCTCCCTTTTGTTAATAGTGAAATGGGATGTTTCTGACTGTCCCGTGATGATGCCTACTGAGCATCATGACCCTGGCCAAGCAAAGCCTTTGGGGCTCTGAGCAGGACCCCCCCATGGCGGAGCTGCCCACAAAGGCCAGCTTCATCCTGAGCATGAGAGAGAGGGACAGATTTTCCCAGAGGACAACACCCAGGCTGACACAAGTGGCCCGCAGGCAGCCACCTGGCCATCTGTGCAGGCTGTGGGGGCCCCCAGTGCAGACTGGGGCTTGGTTTCCATTCTTACTTGTCAGGGAGTAACATCCCACACCGCCGTGGAGCCCACCACACCCTGCGGGCGGACGGCGCCCGTGCTGGGGTGTATTTAGGGCAGTAGTTGTGTGGAAGAGGGGGCCCTCCGGAGGGTCCCCATCAGGCAGCCCTCCCGCCGCGGGGTATCCTCTACCCTCTGGCACTGCCGGGGAGGGCGGGCGGTGCGGCGGGGTGGGCTCGGGAAGGAGGCCTCCCCGTGATCAGATCCTGACGCGAAGCTGCTCTAATGCTCTCTCTCCCTCTCCTGTCCCTTTTCCTAGTCCCCACCGAAAGGTGCCACCATTCCCTACCGCCCAAAGCCCGCCTCCACCCCTGTCATTTTTGCAGGTGGTCAGGTAAGAGCCGACCCGCTCGCGGCCTCCACTGCCAACCTCAGCCTTTTACTGCAGCCCCCGCCGCTGCCCGTTAGTGCACTCAGGTTTTCTCCCTTCTCACGTGCACGTCTCCCACCCCACCCACGCTGGGCGCAGAGCTCTCCCGGCCTGCCGCCGGGCACGGGGCGAGCTGGGCAGTGTGGGGCAGACAGAAAAGGCCAAGGCAGACGTCCCGCAGAGCCTGGACCCCGGAAGCGTCTTCTCCCTGGCCCGGCACAGAAGGACCCTGGTCCTGCCTAGGCAACATTGGCCCAAATCTACTTCGTCGAGTGTCTAAGGGGCTTAGCAGAAGGGCCGGAAGCGTTACAGTGACCCTGTGGCTCGAGGTTGAGACAACTGGAGCTGTGGGAACAGGGTCCCGTCTCCCCCAAAATGCACATCCCCAACCCCCCACAGAGGAGTCTCTAGGAGCAGCAGGGGAAGGGAAAGGTGACTTCCGGCTCACAGCGATGGCCCTCGCACTCCGCCCTGCCCCGCACCGGCCAGGCCGGGACACCTGCTCTGCACACCTGTTGCTGGGGCAGGAGCCGCCGACCTCCTTCCTCCCCCTTCGGCAAGGGGCCTGGGAGGCCAGCAGCTGCAGAGATTAACATCTGAGGCCAGCAGCTCATCAGCAGGGCCCAGAGAGAGCTGAGGAGAGGGGCTGTGCCCGCCTCCTGCCATCGGGCGCCTGTGCCACCCACCTCGGGGTCACGACAATAGGTAGAGGACCTTGGGAGGTGCCCAGCCAGAGTGCCTGGAGGAGCTCTGCGTCCAGTTGGCGGTGACGTGTGTCTTTGTTCAAGGGAGAGTGAAGACTGAGCATTCCCAGAGGCAACCCAGGTCAGGGGAGAATGGCCATGACTTTGTCGTTAACAAAGGGGCAAATGAAAATTTTCTCCACATTTTAAAGGAATCTTATCAGATCCTCCAGATTGACTCCCACGTTAGGTGTTTCCAAGAGCAGCATGTGGGCTGCTTCCCACCGGGAGGGACCCAGTGGCTCCCACAGGGCTGTGTGGTTCAGGGAAGGCCACTGTCCACTGTGCCTGGCTTCTGCACGCGGCCACTGCGGGCCCTTCTCCCAGCTACCACAGCCCTCAAGTCACCCAGTGGCCCTGCCTTTTGTCTGGAGCCTTCACATCCCTGCACCCTCCCACTGCAGCCCCGGGACCTGGGCACGCCCCCATTTTACAGGTCAGAAAGCAAGGCCAGAGGTAGTCACGGGGGCACACAGACACAGGGGGCCTTGTTCAGAACACGATGTCCTTTGCCCTGAAGTCCTAGTAAGCTAGCAGGTTAGATACATGTGTGGCCTTGACCCTGACATGTGAACAGACCCACGATGCCACCATGTGGTAAAGTGCGGTCTGTCTTCAAAAGAGAAGCACAGTAACACCCACGAGAGCCGGGGAAGCCGTGTGGGCCAAGGCCAGCGTAGCCCCAGCCAAGGAAGGCCGTCCCGGTCATCTCCTCTTAGGGCAGCGAGGTCACCAGCATCGTGGGCGCTTGTCCCGAGGCTGTCCCCAGGCTACAGGCACCTGTGCACCCCGAGACAGGTCTGGCCAGTGGCTCTTCGTGGTTGTGTGGAGACCGATGAGCCACAGCACAAACAGAAATGGGGTGTGAATGAGATTTAGCAGCAAGGGGGCCCTTCAGAACCCAGACCCCACCTGCCGCAGGACCTAGGCCTGACTCCCCTCTGGAGACACCCCTCACTGTGGATCTCCCACCTGCACTGGCTCTCACCGAGCACTGGTACCTGAGGGCCAGCAGGTACCCCACCAGGGAGCGCCAGCCTGCATTTCAAAAAATGTTTTTAATGTTTCTGTATTTTTGAGAGAGAGCAAGCGGGGGAAGGCCAGAGAGAGAGGGAGAGGGAGACAGAGGATCTGACTTCGGCTCCGTGCTGACAGCAGGGACCCCAATGCAGGGCTCAAGCTCACAAACTGTGAGATCACGACCTGAGCCGAAGTCAGACACTTAACTGACTGAGCCACCAGGTGCCCCAGCCCAGCCAGCCCAGTGTTTCAAGCAGGTCGCAGATGACGAAGGTTTCGTCCGGAGAACCTTTGTCTGTCTTCCCAGCTGTACCTTCCCTCTGTCCATGGTAAACTGCTCCCACAGTTCAAATAAAACCGAGAACGCGACCACCTAAGTGAGTAAAAACGTGTGGGATAAAGAACTGCCCTGTCCGGAGGTGTGTGCAGTTCCACTGGGGCGACCGGGGCCGTAGGACGGTGTGCGTCCCAGGCCTGTGACGCGTGGTGACACGCCGGAGCGTGTGCCTGCTGGCACCTCCATGAAACCTAAAGACAAGCCATGGAGCTTGTGCACAGAAGTCCAGAGGGGGAAGGGCGGCCCCACTGCCTTCCCCTCGGACACTTGCAGCGTCTGATAAGATTCCTTTACTTCCCCGTGGGACGCCTGGATGGCCCCCACCTCCAGTGGGCCCCGCCCGGTGCCTGGTGGCCTTTACCTCCCCGCTTGGGTTGTTTATGAGGAAAACCGTCAGACGCCACCCTCGGTGCAAAGTCCACAGAAGGGACGCTTGGACTGGCCTGTGGTCTCCCTCTCGGTGCACGTGTGCAGACACAGGTGGGCATCGCGTGCCCGCTTGCGATGTGGCACTGGCACCCCACGTGGCCAGGTGCCGGAAGGCACGTCCCTCCCCACCTGTGCCACCCGTGCCCGGGGCCTCGACCGCGGCTGCCCAGAGCTGGTGTGGCACGTCCCACATCACAGCACATGAGGCCTGACAGCAAGTCTTTGGTCTTTGCTCTCCCTTGACACCTTGTGGATCGTTTGTTTTTGGCCGTGAGTTTCTGGGAGCATCTCAGCCGGTGGACTATTGAGGTGGGTGGGGGCGGGCAGGGGGGAGAGGTGCCAGGCCCAAGCCCGCTGTGGCCACCCTGAGTCACCGTCTTGAAGGTGAAGCCTCAGGGACCACGCTGGCCCCGGAGAACAAGTGTTCGGCCCGCTGAGGCTGCAGGTCAAGACCATCCATCTTGTGACTGATTCGGGCACGTTTCTTACTTAATCTGCTTTTGCAAAATTGGTTTTGAGTCACCTTTTAAAGGTCCTTTGGTTTGGTTTTCTTGGGACAAGTACTTTGCAAAAGTGTTCACTCTGAAAGCTGATGAAAATTGCCAAAGGCTAATAATGAATCTGTAACGGTCAGATCACTTGCGGGGGGTTTCTATTAAGAACCCCCTCCGGGGGAGTGGGGAGCCTTCCCAGCTGCGCCCCTTCCCGCCCTCCCTGCCGGCCCCACCAGTCTGCACTCCTGCGGCTCTCCAGGAGGTGGGGTGCGGCTCGCCTGGCCCACGTGTCCCACTGTCGCGCCGGTGAGGCTTGGCCCCGCGACACCCCCAGTCCGCACCTCCCGGCACCCTGAAGGACTCGCCTTTTGTCCTAAGCTGCCGGCGGAAGGGGGGGATGCGCTCTCTCCAGAGGGCCTCGGGCCCGTTCCCATGAAGCCCCACCCCTGAGAAAGCCCGTGTCCCCCGGGGAGGGCCGCCGGCGGGCACAAGCGTGGCCGCCGCTTCGCGAGCTGACCGTGTCTCTCTCTTTCTAGGCCTACACGATCCAGGGACAGTACGCCATCCCCCACCCAGATGTGAGTCTCCACTCTGCCTCCCTGGCCTTCTCTTCTCATTACCGTTACCCACCTGCATGCTGCTGTACTTGCTACTAATATTAATATTACGCAATAATATTAATACCGTTCTCTCAATGTTCCCGACCTCTGTCGTATCCACATGACCTTGAATAACCTTTAACCTCTTAGCACTAATTCTACTTGTGTGGAGGACTTGGCCTGATGTCAAATTGTTCTGGTTGTTGCTGCGCTCTGGGGCTTTCCTCTGCACACAGGGCCTTAGGTGGTGGCCGCAAGGCTGCTCTGCCGTGGCACCTGCCCCATCGGGTGCCCTGCAGCCACCTGAGAAGTTAGGTGACGTGCTATCAGACAGGTGCTCCAAGAGATGCTGGGAAGGATGTTTGAACGTCCGGTAAAGCCACACTGTCCCCTGTGGGGCCCGAGTTGAAACAGCAGCCCCTACACCCTGAGTACAAAAGCCAACAGACGTGGCCTTGGTTTTCTTTCTAGGGCTGAAGCCCCTTGCTCCACCATCGGGGCCCGCTCAGACGTCCCTGCGTGTGTTCCAGTCTGAGCGTGGTATCCGAGTGGAGAACAGGCACATCCAAAGATGTATTGTCAGTGGCCCAGGGGCTGAGGGGCCAGTGTGCAGCAGGAACAGGGCAGCAGCTGTGACCCAAGGTCGTCTCTCCACAGGGATCCGGACGCTCGGGCAAGGAGGTCCTCACTAGTTGATCCGGAAGGGAGGGTTGGGGCAGGAAGGCGGGGGGACCGGGCCAGGGGAAGAAGGTGGAGGTGCGCTCGGCCTCCGTGCTGCTTTCTGCAGCGGCGGCCAACCTGGAGCTGGTTTTGAGAAGCCGTTTTCTTCTCTAAACCATTTCGAGACCTGCCGAGCTTCGCGGCCTCTCCAAGAAAGCATTTTCCTGCATGTTCTCTGGGACCCGGGCCTCACGTGGGAGGCGCTGCCGGGTTGATGGGTGCTCGAGTCTCCTGCCAACCCCTACACGGTCCAGCTGGGCGCGCAGGACGCGGTCAGTGAGATGTGCAGGCAGATCACTCCCGTGCCCCGCCTGCCCGCTGGAGCCCACAGACCCCTCAGGGCCATGGCCACCTCCATCTCCCCTTTGAGGATACGTGTCAAAGCCTGGCCTCCGCTAGTGACCTCCACACCCCGTTCCGTGTTATCGGGGATGCTCTTCATTCTCCTGTGAGTTGCTTAGAGATCCCAGGAGTGGGGGAGGTGGTGAAGGTGTGAACCTACTCGGCCTTCTCGAAAGAACCACCGGCAGCTTTAAAAGTTAAACGTCTTTTACCCCAAGGAGGTTGCCAGCAGTGCCCACGAAAATGACAGAACGCTGGAGGTCGGTCTGTAGGAGCCCCCGAGACAGGTGGGGGCAGGCCCCGTGGCTCAGAGGCCTTTCCGGTTCCAGGCGGGTGACGCCCTGTCCCTCATCGTCTCAGCCGACCGCCGACTGTGACGGGGGTGCAGATGTTAGAGTCTGGGAGAAGGGGCGGCCCGTCCCCAGCGCAGGAGTGCGCACGGAGCGTAGGCACACGAGGGGGTGGGCTCCACCGCTCCTCTCAGAGGGCCCCGAGTGGGGTGGTGGCAAATCAGAACAGAGGCCAAGTGGGTCACGGGCCTAATTCCTTGGGTGGCACGATCTTCATTTAACGGGGGGCCGCTGGTCTTGCTCCTCTAGAAGTGCGGGTGCGTGTGCAAGAGCAGACTGGGAAACCCGGCTCGTGGGCTTTTCTCAAACTCAGGAGCTCAGGAAACACAGTGGTCTAGCCCCTCACGAAGGGCGGTCGACCCCAGAGAACAGCTCTGAGGCCTGAGATTTCCTGCAGCCCTAGGCATGGCCTCTGAGCTCACGGAGAAGAGTTTCTGGCCTCAGGTTCCCACGGTCGTGGGCGCACACCTGTCTCAGGCTGAGGAACTTCTGTTTGGCTGATTGATTTTTGTATCAACTCGTCGTTATGTCCCTCCATGTGATGTTCTCACTATCTCTTGAAAGCGGGTAGTTTCGCAGGCATTTTTGTCAGATTGTTTAAGCTGACTTATAACTCAGGGTTGCGTAATTGCTTCATTGTCTTTGGTACGTCTCATGAACTGGCGCTCTGTGCGGGACCCTCCCCTGTGTAGACCGGACAGGGTGGGGGACGCACGGCTGCCAGGACTCTGTAGCGAGAGCTCTGAGAAGTGCGCTTTGCGCGCCGGTGACACTGAACGCCAGACGATCATGTTGATGCTCCATCCGAAACAAAAATAAACCAGCCGCCTGGGGACATGGGTGATGGTGGCCAGGAAAGGGAACTTTTAACTAAGCTTAGTATTCAGTAGGGACTTTAAAGGCCTCGTTTCTTAGAACCCAAATACAATAGTGATGGGAAATCCTACTTTATTTTAAAATATAACTGAGTGCACAGGTTGAATGTTTGAGCCACGGTGGCTGACACACACACATTTTAACAGCCTGCTAACTTATCTGAATCAGGCCCAGACTGTAAGGAAGCCTGTTTCTTAGAGCTGAGTGTTTCTTCATCTAGAACTAAACTGTACGTACTTCTTACATGCCCTGCTTTGCCCTCCCTGGAGAATCGCCAGGACCCACCTTGCCAGTTTTGCGGTGGCACCTGCCACTCGCTTGTTTTGCCCGAATCCCCCCGGACTCGCCCAGGAGAGGCACCGGGCACCGGGTATGGGAGGATGTCCCCGGCCCCAGGCTCATCTCCAGAGCTCTGGGGGCGGCTCCCCTCACCTCCACAGAGCCTCCGCGGGGCCACGCGGCTTCAGACGTGGGGGGTGGGGGGCAGCAGGGACTCAGACGTGGGAGCCACCCAGTCCTCCCGCCCACCCAGTAACCTGTGTCTCTTCGCTTCCGCGGTGTGATCAGCCAGCGGCAGGCCAACCCCTGCGTGTGACTCCTCTCTGCTGGTCTTCAGACTTTCCGAGTGACTCCCTCACGTGACGTGCCCCTCGTTCAGGGGGCCAAAAGCAAGCAGAAAGTAAGCCAGGCGTTCCAAGTGACAACAAAGGGTTCGCCACCTCTGCCTGCTCGCCTGCACCTGGCTCCGACTGCAGGGCGGCTCTCAGGACGGCCACCCAGTCTCAAGCACGAGGAAGTGGTCGTTTGGAAAGCTCGTCGACAGAATAAAGAGCCATGGCTTCCAGCAGCGGCGCCCAGTAACCGGGGGTCACAGGAAGCGTGTTCTTTGGGAGACAGTGACACGGAGTCATAACAGAGGGAGGAGGCATCAGCGGGAGGGTGCACGTCAGGTCCTGCTGTCCACTCACAATTTGTTGTGGGTGCGGGGACTCCCCCGGTGACCGCCGTGCGGTGGCACCTCGTACTGGGCACAGTGGAGACTGGCCAGCACTCCGACGCCAGCCGGCTTCTGGGCCTCACGTCCGTCCTGCTCCTCCCAGGACCCTGCAGCTCAGGCTGGTGGGGAGGTGCCCGCGCCCCACCCACTGCCAGGGCACCTCCTATCCCTGCCCCTAGGCCGGCTTGCCGGAGATCTTCTCTGCCTCCCTGCCCCCTCAGAGGCCGAATCTGCATTTCCATCACACAGGGTGATGACGATTCTATGAGATGAGCACTGAGAATTTGCCAGAATTAACAAAAGAAACCAGTCCTCACGTTCAGGAATCCCAACAAATCTCAAACAACGTAAATAAAAAGAAATCCATCTCGGATCTGTCAGAGTAAAATTGCATGACATCAAGACCAAAAGTGAATCTCCAAAGTAGTCAGAACAGGAATGTCACAGAGAGCGAGAGAGGAAGGAGGGGACGTCTCGTCAGCAACTCTGGAGGCCAGAAGGTGGTGGTGTGATAAGAAAAAGTAATTGTCAACCCAAGTTTCTATCTTAAGAGGATCTTCCAAGGACCCAAATCCAAGCATTTTCAGACAAATAGCTGTGACCAACAGGCTTGTGACGGATGCCTTCCGGAGAAGGACAGAGATTGTGGAGGCGAGGCCAGAGATGTAGGAACCGGGCTTATTTCATTAACATAAGCACGGGCCAATGAAATACCAATGATTTTAAACTACACAAAAATGTATACATTTGGGCAAAGGAAAGCGAAAATTGTCTGTAAAGTCAACATCAAAGTTGTCTAATTTGTGGGATTAACAAAACAGAACAAGTAGACAAAAACAGACCTACGATTCAGATGGACCCCGGGGGAATGAGAAGTTTCTGTAGCTTACGGTGTCATCCCAGAAGAGGCAAAGAGTTTAGACTTTAACCGTATGTATTAAAATGTGAAAGTGACCACTGACAGAAAAGAGTTTAATTCTGTAACTTCTGTAAAGGTATAGAGGGAGAATGCATGGCAGAAGTTAACCAGTACAAAAGGAGAAAAGGATGAAAAACAGGAAAGAAGCCTGAGAAGATCAGGGCAATTACAAGTGCAAAATAAAACGGCAGAAATTAGTCTATACGTACATGTAATTGTGATCAAAGTAAAAGTGTTCCAGTCAAAAAATAAGGTTCTCGGACTTAAAAAGCAAAACAGAACAAAAAACAAATAGACAAGCTAACAAAACAGGAAAAAAAAACAAAAACATAGCGTTTTCTTCCCCTGGAGACACACCTAAAGAATAAGGACCCAGAAATATTGAAAGAAGAGAAAAAGCTATTCTAAGAAAATACTGACTGAAAGAAACCTTGTATGTCAACATTAATGTCAGGGGCAGGGGGGGCGGGAGTCAAGACAAATGCTATATTTAGTCACTTAGACGTTGATAAAGAAGTCAACTTTAGTTGATATTTAGTCACTTACATGTTCACCAGAAGATATAAATTCATAATTTGTACACACCTTAACCATATCTTCAAATACATGTAAAGAAAAAATTAACAAACCATAAAGGGAATTTGACAGACATTGTAGGTAGAGCCTTCACCTAACTCTCTTTCAATAAAGAATACAGAAGGCATTGATGGTGCAGTCGGTGAGCCTGGTGAGACATAGATTGAACTCTATACAATCCTAAACAGCCATAGAAGTCATGGAAACTTAGTAAGACTTGATCACATATTATGCCATTAAAAAAAAAAACCCCACCCTCTATAAAAAATTGGAATCCTGTAGGCTCTATTCTCTTACCACAAAGCAATTAAGTTGAAATCAATAATTAAAAGATGACCTTTGAAAAAAAACCTTGTATTTACTGAAAGTTAAAGAAGACCAAAAGGCCAAAATAAATGGAGAAGCATACCAAGTTCACGGGTAGGAACGTGAAGTATCTTTAAATGTCAATTCTCGGGGCACCTGGGTGGCTCAGTCAGTTGAGTGTCTGACTATTGATCTCAGCTCAGGTCTTGATCTCGGGGTCGGGAGTTCAAGACCCTCACTGCAGCTTCATGCTGGGCATGAGGCCTACTTTAAACAAAAATTTTTTAAATAAAATAAAATGTCAATTCTTCCCAAATCGAGGTACAAATGCAGTACAATTCCAATCAGAATCCTGACAGGGACTTAAGATGCTGTTTTAAAATTTGTGTTCAAGAGCAAAGACCAAGAAACATCAAGATATTAATGAAGAGACTGTATGCTAGGGAGAGCAGTCCCGGAAGATACGGAGACTTGCTGTAAGGCCGAATGACTGGAGACAGAGTGGTTTGGGCACAGGGACAGACACTGGACCAGCAGGCTACATCAGGACAGTGGGTCATCCACATGGGAAAAATAATTTAAACACTACTTATGTGTCAAGAACGTCAACACAAGAGAGGAAAATAGCACCTTTAGAAGAAAATATAGGAGAATGCCTTTCTTTTTCAGGTCAGGAAAAGCGGTCTTAAGCAAAACATAAAGCAAACCATGAAGAAAATATTAATGAGTTTCACTACATTAAAATTTTAAAATTCTGTTTCCCTAAAGACACCAAAGGGGAGTGGGGGAAATGATCTTTTCAGCATAACAGCTGAAATAGGATTAGTATCTGAAATACAAAAGGAGTTTTTGTGAATCAGCAAAAATCAACCCAGTAGAAAAATGAGCAAAAGACGCACAATTTCACGGGAGGAAACGTGACCACCGCCTAGGCCCCCATGGCAGGCTGTTCCGAGAAGTGACGTAGCTGCATGGTGCATTCGACTCGAGATAACTCACTGAGTTGTGGTCTCATGGATACTTAGGGTTTCAGCCTTTGTCTGCATTTAGTATTTGTCTGTTTCTCTGTTCCAACCAGTATCCATTGGAAAAGGCAAGGGACAGAGAGCTGTCCATTTCACGACACCCTGGCCCCCCTCCCCCTCCCTTTCCTTCTCCCCTCTTCCCTCCCAGCCCCGTGGAGGCCCTTGTGAATATTGAAAGTGATTATTTTTTGATGGCAGAAATACTTCAAAAAGCAGGAATCCCCGTAGCCCTTTTCCTGCTCTTGCCTTAGAAAGTGTAGAAATTGTATTCCGAGGAGATGAAGTGCTTGACTGATTAAAGGCAGAGCCAAGACCAGAGGGAGGCCAGCTGGCATCTGCCATCCGTCCACCTCTCTGCCCACCTGCTCCCTGTACCAGTGTTTATCCAGGCACTGCCGTGTGCCCGTCCAGGCTCCCCGGGACATCACTTTACATTCATGTGCGTGGGTGGAGGGGACTCATCTGTTGGTGTGGCCATTTCTCCATAAAAAGCAGCCCGTGCGTGGCAGCCAGAGACATTAGGGCTGGGACATCTGAAGCCCCTGGGGGCGGCCGTTCTCTGGCATCGGCGTGGCTGGCCTCGGGGAGTATTCATCTGGTCGTGCCCGGGCTGTGCCCAGAACACGGGCGGTCGGGCTCTGGAGCACACCCGCCTGGTGCACCCCATCTGCCTCCCTGCAGTGTGGAGAGAGACCAGAGGAGCAGCCAGAATTGTGAGGCTGTGCGCAGTAGGATAGAGGCCACAGGTCTGGGTGGGAGTGGGGCGGCTTCCCCATCCTGCACACTCGGGACCCGCTTCATACAGAGGCTGGGAGGCAGGTGCTGGGGCTAACCCAGGCTGGTTCCGCCTCCAGGGCCCTGCTCTCCACTGCCATCCTGACCGGCACACAGCTGTGTGCTCTCGGGGGCTCGGGACAGATAGGAGAGGGCCTACTTTGTGGTGAGACACAGAGCAGCCGATATCCCAAGCCAGCAGGTGCCAGCAGACCTCGTCGCACCAGGGCCGCCCCTGGGCCAGGGCTGAAAAGCCTGAGGGTCAGTCCTGACAGGCCGCTCTCCTATGTGAGCACCGCATCTGCATGAAATCCGAGCGGTGGTCAGCGCACTGTGCGCCGTGTCCCCACGTGCATGGCCTGTGCTCCAGCTTCCCGCTTGCCGTCTCCGGAAGTGGTTCCCTCCTCATCTGGGAACTTCGTAGTTAACTGCCTGGTGGAGGAAACCTTGTGCTTTTATGAGGTGGGTTCACACCCCTGCCGGGTGATGGCTACATGCTTGCTGTCTGCATGGGGCCCCATTTGCGGCTCCCGGTCCCATCGGCTACAGGCAGATTCATGGGATCGGTCTGCGGTCCGGCGCTGAGGTGCCTCCCGGCACAGACGGTGTCACCCCCTCCTCAGCCTGCAGGTACTTGCTGTCTTTCTTACTCGTCCCTGAAAGAGGAGGCTTCGCTAGGCTACTTGCAACGTGTTCTGCAGGCACCTTCCCCGCAGGGTCATCCTGCCTGTGCCTCAGGCACAGCCGGTGCAGGCCATGCATCACCTCTCGTCCCTTGTGACTCCGGCGGTGTCCCGTGACGGTATTTCCGGGGTGTGTTCTTCCAACACCGTCCTCGGGGGGGCTTCGGTGCAGAGCTGCTCAGGTCACGTCAGGCTCAAGCGGCGATCAGGAGCTTGGCCGGGAGGCTGAGCAGCAGTGAGGTCAGCCCCCAGTCCCAGGGACCACGTTGACCCGCACCACCTCGTCAGGGACTCTTAGAGCTGAATCTGAGCCCAGGTCACCACATCCCCTGACCTATTTCTCAGGACCCCTGGGCATGATACCTGTACCCAGAGCGGCCCCACTGAGTGAGGTGTGGCCAGTGCTCCCTGGGCGGGCCCACCCCGAGCGCCACAGGTCAGGGAGCACCCCAGAAGACAGGCAGAAAGCTGCATTTCGAGGCACTCCCCCTTTCCAGGAAGGGAAGGAGAATAGAAACTCTAATGGCAAGGTCACAGGAGCCGTCCGGGAAAGATGGGCCGGGTGTGGCCACCTCCACTGCAGGAGCCTGCCTCACATCCCGGGGGCTCACACGGCGAGGGGTCCACCTGAAAGGGACGACCAGGAGGCCACGGGTCGGTCACGGCTGGGCCCCCAGCTGTAGCTGGGGTCCACGCGGTACGTCATCCTGTGGGGGCCGGAAGAGCCTGGACCGCACGGCCCCGTGCACGGCGAGCCTCCGTGCCCGCCACTGCGGCCATGGGGCACGGCAGACAGGGCAGGGGCTCTCCAGGGCGGGCCGTCAGGGACACCGTGACCCTCCCCACAGTGGGAAGGGGCCCGTGGTGTTTGTCTTAGCTGCCGGCGACCCGCTCCTCTATCACCGTGAGGCCCGTCTGTGAAGGCTCTTGAGTGTCTCGGGTGTTTGCGCCTCGGGCACCATTGCTGCCTCCCCGACACACTTGTGTGGCACTGGGGACGCCGGCTCCTCCCCGAGGGCCCCCTCCTGCTGGCCTCCGGGGGCTCCGGGAAGGGCCCGTCCTCGCCTCCAGAACGGAGTCCAGGGCCGGCCCGAAGTGGGGCCGGGACACGTTCGCGTGGGCCCTGCTGTCCAGGGGAGGCTGGGAGCTGAGCGCGTTGCCCAGAGTGTGCGGTGCAGGCCCTGAGCCTGAGCAGGCCCGAGGACATCCTGCTGGACGTCCGGCGCTTGGCTGTGGGCCGGGGGTCGCCGCCCGCCAGGCCTGTGTGAGCTGCCAGGGAGTCAAGGAGAGGAAAGGAATCGGGTGCGCCGCCCAGAGGCCCATTGGTTTTCCCAGGCCAAGTCCTTGAGCTCTGCGTCTGCCATGTGTCCGCATGGCCCCTCTCTATCTATTTGTACAACGTTCTGTTACTGCCTTTTTAATTTGGTGTGACTTGTGCTCGATGACAATAATCTTCTTAGCTCTCGTGTCCCTCCTACCCCAGCAGTTGACCAAGCTCCACCAGCTGGCCATGCAGCAAACCCCCTTTCCTCCCCTCGGACAGACCAACCCCGCTTTCCCCGGTACGTACCCAGCTGCCCTTTCTGACCTCCTCTCTTCTCACCTGGGGACTCTCTTTCTGAACGGTCTTATTCAGGGCGGTGAGCAGAGCAGGTACAGTTGTAGTTGTGGATGCCAAGGGCGCAGTGTAGACACGTAGCAGTGTGCACGTTGCAGAGGGCCGGGCGGGGAGGTCTGCGTGTGTCTCCTGTGGTAGGGTAGTCACCTCACGGCTGGCCTTCTTGGGAAGAGATGTCCCGTCTGCCCCCTCGGGTCCATGCCTGCTCTCCACTGCACACAGGCGTCCTGGAGGTCCCTCCTGCTGGACGCACCACCCACTTGGCCAGCCCTGAAGTCTGTTCTCCAGGAGCAAGAGCTCAGACGAGCAGACGGATGCCCTTCTGCAGGAGGCCGGTGCACATCCCAGGAGTGACACCTGCCCGGGACGGCACCCGGCCCTGCCCCGGGGAAAACTGAGATGAGCCAGCCCCCGGCCCGGGGCGCGGTCACCATCGGCACCCTACTGGGCACAGGGGCGGGGGTGGGCCTTACCCCGCACTGTCTGGCCAGCTGGGCGTGCGTTCCTCCCGGATGACGGCAGGGCATCGCCTCGGTGGCCGAGTGGGTGACAACACACGGACATGCTGGTCTGCCGTGCATGCGCCAGTCAGATTTTGAGCTTCCCTAGTTGAAGTGACCTTGCTTATCTCCTTGAGGGCAAAACATTAAATCTGTTTCTTCTTTGCTCTCCAGGAGAAAAGCTGCCTTTACACTCCTCCGAAGAAGCTCAAAATCTGATGGGCCAGTCGTCAGGTAAAACAAAAGCACACTAAACGGAGAGAGAGCAGGCCCAGAAGGCCGTGCGTCCGCCCCTGCTCGGGCTCCGGGTCACTGACCTGGCGGGAGGAGGGGCGAGGAGGCCCGATCGCGTCTGCCACGGGGACTGCGAGCGCCTCAGCGAGGGGCCAGTGCCGTCAGGGGACAGAGCCCGAGCGGCCGGCGCCAGGCCTGCACGTGCAGTTCACAGCTTCCGTGTCCGCCAAGTGGGTCAGTCCCGAGTCTCTGATGGCCACCTAAGGCCCCACACGTGGTGGGCCACCGTCTGCGTTGCCACATATTCTCTGGGTGGCACGGCGCGTGGGGGCCTGCCGGAAAGAATTTACCATGACGTGTGCTTTCCGGGGACGCGTTTTGTAGGCGACACGGCCCGCCGTCAGGGAGCAGAGGCCCCCGGGCCCGATCTGTCTGCACCCGTTGTGGCTGCGTGAAGATGCGCCTAGGCTGTGGCGGGGCAGACACGGGTCTGCGGGTCCCAGTACCCAGGGCGGGTGGGGAGCGAAGCCACTTGAGAGCTTGCGGCGGGCGGAGCGGTCTCCCCGTGAGGCGCCACCCGCTCCCCCGTCCCGCTCAGGGTCGGGGCAGAAGAGCAAGTGTCCAGCTGAAAGGGAATGCAGGAGGGCAGCGCTCCCGGCGCGAGCCGGCTGTCACCCCGTCCGTGTGTTCTGGGCCCCAGAGCCTAGCTGTGCGCCTGGGGCTCTGGGGGCATCTCCGGGCGAGACGCCGGCTCTGATGATCAGAGCGCCCCACGTGGGTTCCATCGCGGTGCAGCCTTCAACTCAGTTCATGCAGAATTTAGCGAATGGGAATTAGAGACAAACTTTTACAGGACGTAGATACCGACCCTTACTGAGTTGCACATCTAGGTGGTAACGCACGTGTGCCTGCAAGCCCTCTGCCGTTTATACGGGGTTTCGTACCGCTGCCCAGCGACCGCCTTCCGGAGACGGCCGGGACCCAAGGGCCTGGCTCACCCGGGACCCACGGCCCCCATCCTGCCGGCCACCCACCTCCCCTGTCACGGCTCCCCCAGCACCGCCTCCGGGCCCCAAGGACACGGGGCACATGTTCACACGACCTCTTTAAGGGGTCCCTGTGATGACCTCCCACCCGAGGCCCCGTGGGACCCACAGGGAGAGCGTGCACACACACGTGTCCCACCATGGCAGCCAGTGGAGTAGGATGTGTGGTGACAAGGGGCGACGTCACCGCTGCTCCCAAAGCCGGCTCGAGCTCGCGTGGCGAAGCTTGACTCATCCAAGCACGTGGAATGTCAGCATATCGTGAGAGAGGATCCCTGCTGGGGCACGGGGTCCTGAGGCACAAGAGCAGATGTGTCTCCAAATCACCAGCTTAATTTCAGTACCTTCTTAAAGAGAAGTCTAATACTTTCCTCCCCCGGATCAAAATATACCAAGGTGAACTGATGGGACTCTTGTCGTTACGTCCGACCCAGATGAGGCTGTTCAGGAGTTCCTGTAAGGATGCAGACAGGACTGAGGAAATCTCTTAAATGACGTTTTGGGTGTCACTATTTATGGAATGTGTATAGACGCTTGAACAACCAAGTGATTGTACTGGAAGCGCCTTTGTGAAAAGAACGCGATAAAGAACAGAAACTTGATTTGGCAAAAGGAGACGACAATTTGGGATGAATTAGTTCATTCAGGACATGCCAACTGACCGCCCCCCCCCTTCCCCGCCCAGGCAAGACGGGCCCTGGTAGGGTCTCTCATGGCAGAGACTGAGGACCGCGGTGCATCTGGTGTTGGGGACACGAGTGCCATAGGAGATGCAGGAAGAGGAAGGGAGGCCGTGGTGGGGGCAGGACCCCGCCGGATGGTCTGGGACAGTCTTGAAGGCATCTGACCCGTGTGTCCTTAGGACCCTCTGGGCCCGTGGAGAGTAGACCAAGGGGCAGGGACAGAGGCAGGAGCCAGGAGCGGGGAGACAAGAGGTCTGGGGCTCTGGAATATTCTGACGGTACCAGCCGGGCTGCGACGGTTGGCTGCGTGTACAGAGTCCGGGGTCTGGGCTGCGCTCGGACGCGCGTGGGGCCTGCCGGGAGGAAGGGGGGTGTCCGCTGTGGACTTGGTGCTTGTGATGCCTCCAGACAAGGAGACAAGTGCTGAGGGCAGGGAGCCTGCCCAGCACGGGCTCTGTTGACCCTGTTTCCAGAGCAAAAGCGGATCCTGTCCTGTGAGTCGTCTGAGAAGTGGTCTTTGATGTGGCAGGCCCTGAGCTGACACTGGCAAAGCTAAAACTTGGGGGCCTGGCGACCAACTAGGCCTGTGTCTGCACTTAGAACACCGATGTCGGCTCACCGCTGCATCATGGGGCTATCTGGGCCGCAGAGCAGTTTGGGGCAGAAGGCAGTTAGGGGCAGCTGGACCAGGGGTGCAGAGGGGGCCGAGAGCCCAGACACACACACACACACACACACACACACACACAC